ATTTTGGGTCCATGGCCAGGAAACTCCCCAGACCTTAATTCCATTGAGAACTTGTGGTCAATCCTCAAGAGGCGGGTGGACAAACAAAACCCCACAAATTCTGACAAACTCCAAGCATTGATTATGCAAGAATGGGCTGCCATCAGTCAGGATGTGGCCCAGAAGTTAATTGACAGCATGCCAGGGCGGATTGCAGAGGTCTTGAAAAAGAAGGGTCAACACTGCAAATATTGACTCTTTGCATAAACTTAATGTAATTGTCAATAAAAGCCTTTGACACTTATGGAATGCTTGTAATTTTACTTCAGTATACCATAGTAACATCTGACAAAAATATCAAAAAACACTGAAGCAGCAAACTTTGTGAAGACCAATCATTCTCAAAACGTTTGACCACGACTGTATATTATTTTAAAAAACATTGTACTTTTACCCCTTTTTCTCCCCAATTGGTAGTTACATTCTTGTCCCATCACTGCAACTCCCCTACAGACTTGGGAGAGGCGAAGGTCGAGAGCCATTTGTCCTCCGAAACACGACCCTGCCAAGCCCCACTGCTTCTTGACACACTGCTCGCTTAACCCGGAAGCCAGCTGCACCAATGTGTCGGAGGAAAAACCATCCAGCTGGCGAACAAAGTTATCAAGAAAAGTTCCCATGCTTGTCTCAAAGCAGCGCAATGCAATGATGTGCAGTCAGGGTAGGCAGTCCTTACCCTGTGATAATATGATAAAGAAAGCTGTTATGAAAAGCAAAATAAATACAGAATTATATTGAAAACAAATCTTTACTTTTAGTTATTTAATGTTTTTACGTATTGCCTTAACGAATTGCCTGGGGTACACTGTGCAAATCTGGGCATGTCTACATTATATGGTGCTCGCATCTTATGCTCACATCCCTTGAACTGAACAAAGCTAGCTAGCTAGCAAAAACAACCTGAGTGACAAATGGACACTATTGCACCTCAAACAATTTTCCAAGTTGGAATAATGTAATGTGCCGTTTGGAGGGCTCGACTGATAGAATCGATACTTGCTCTATCACTGATGGGAGCACGGATGCTATAGTCATGGATTCGCCAAGAACTGAAAGACTTGCACAGGAGATAACTCAAAGGTACGTAGCCTTTCATTCTCTGTTCACCTCAAATAACATGGTGTTAGTATGGTTGGCTGTAAAATGAGGAGATAGTTACAGAGGAGATGAATGAGCCAGTTGGAAGCTGGGGATGATTAGCTGGCCATGATGGTATGAGGGCCAGATTGGGAATTTAGCTAGGACACCGGGGTTAACACCCCTACTCTTACGATAAGTGCCATGGGATCTTTAGTGACCACAGAGAGTCACGGCAACCAGTTAATGTCCCATCCAAAAGACGGCACCCTACACAGAGCAATGTCCCCAATCACTGCCATGGGATATTTTATTTTAGACCAGAGGAAAATGTGCTTCCTACTGGTCCTCCAACACCACTTCCAGCAGCATCTGGTCTCCCATCAAGGACCAACCCTGCTTAGCTTCAGAGGCAAGCCAGCAGTGGGATGCAGGGTGGTATGCTGCTGATACACATAGGAAACTGTTGAGCGTGAAAAGCCCAGCAGAGATGCAGTTCTTGACACAAACCGGTGCGCCTGGCACCTACTACCATACCTTGTTCAAAGGCTCTTACATTTATTGTCTTGCCCATTCACCCTCTGAATGGCACACATACACAATCCATCTCTCAATTGTCTCAAGGCTTAAAAATCTTTCTTTAACCTGTCTCCTCCCCTTCATCTACACTGATTGAAGTGGATTTAACAATTGACATCAATAACGGATCATAGCTTTCACCTGGATTCACCTGGCCAGTCTATGTCATGGAAATGTTTTGTATACTTAGTGTATATCAATCTGTCTAACAGTGACTGTGGATGCTACATCAGTCTACATATCTAAGCTGAGCAGTGTGCAATTTTGTTGGATGATATTAAATATGCCGACATCAAAGGTTTGTGTATCTTGGCTACGATGGTATTTACATTTGGGAAAAATAAAAAAAGGTCAATTTCGGTTATTAATAGCCTATGTCACTCTGGTTGTTGGAGCTATCTGTTCTATGTAAACCTTCATTAAGGTTTATTTGTCAGTAAATCTGGCTTTGATAATAGCCAGTGCATACCCAGCCACCATCCTCACTTCACGTCACTGGGGCAATGGCACTGTCCCAATCAAAACGGTGCTGAAATTACAATCTAGTTGAGAACACACGACAATTGCTTTACATTTATTATAATGGTTGGATGACTTTGGGAATTTCATGTAACCACAGTTCTATGAACTAAGCGGTGCATTCAGCTGACTAAATTATTTTTACACCATTGCAGCAGCGCAAAAGATTCAGGGCTGACCCCAAATCATTCGGGGCTAAAGGCCCAAAATCCCGATCCTGGTGACGTCCTTGCCTGTGCGAAAGGATTAGGGTTTCAGCCTTTCTATTCCTCTATACAGAATTCTCCCTTCAAAAGCATTCCATGAATAACAAAATAGTATATACTATGTCCCTCTCCTCTCTCACTCCTTTCTCTGAATTCTCCCTCTCAGTCTCTTACCCCCCACCCCCTTACATACACACACGCGCATGCATGCACAACCTGATGTCTTTTCAACAATTTTCCCCACTAGGTAGGAATCAAAGTGACTAGGACCTGGATAGCAGCATCATATCCATGCAGATGTATTTACTTTACTTTGTTCACAAAGACCAGTAAAGTATTTACTTATGTTGAGGCAAAATCAACAATATTGCCTCCGTATGGAACACTCTAACATACCATAAAGAGAAAAGATGCAGTAGTTTCTAGGGTCTTTTTTTATTTTATTTTATTGTGCAGCAAAAACACATGATTGATAACATCACGTCTCTGGTCGTTTCGAGCTGATGACATGAGGTACATTTTTTTTCAAAATGGTGTTAAATCGCTATCAGAAAACAACCTATGGCTTAATAGGTAAACATGCCATTTACAAATGTCCATGATATCTGTTTTCAACTTGTACAAAAGCTTTATAAATATATATATATATATATATATATATATATATATATATATATATATATATATAAGGGCCATCAATGGCCTAATGGGGGGATAGTCTCTTTTAATGAAACAGCTTAAAAAGGAGTTATAAAGGTGTTTTAAACTAGTTATAACAACTTTCTAACATCAGGTTGGTTGTTATGTCACCAGGTTCAATCAATGCTTTCTACTAGCTCCCTGAAGGACCCATTTGGATAATGGTATTAATGCATTTCATTTTCAAATTTTCAAAATGGACAGACAAATAAAAAAGATACAGTCAGAATTAAAGTAAAACTCAGACGAAATAAACAGATATTTTTGTCTGTAGCATGAGGTATAGTGAAGGAAACAGGAGCTCTCTTTTTTACTTTTTCTTTTTTTCTTTTTTGGAACAGAGCAGAAATCATAAAACATTGTAAAAAAAAAAATCTGATCACATACCAATACACTACGAATGACAATTTCAATAATATCATAATTTTCTATGAGAAATTCTATTACATGGCAGTATATTGACATTTTACTAATACAAATATCCACAAAATAGCAGCAAACACTTTGATAAGAGAAAAAAAGGATTGTTTTTCTTTTCGTTTTCATTTAATTTAAAGTCATGAAACTTTGCTGGGAAAATTCCTCCATAGCAGCTTGTTATAAGGAGTGTTTACATATTGTTTTCTGTCACTGTACAATCAAACCGTTTGCCCACATACCTTATGCCCCCCCCATCACTCCCATCGCAACCCCATAGCAACCAGTTATTTCTTCCAGCTTCATCCTCCACTGATTTAAAACAATACGCAAAAGACATCTTTGAATTTGTGCAAAATGATCTAAAAGCCTTTTCAATTTTCATTTGATGACAGGGGAAGATTTGAGACATTCCTCTTTTGAATTCTAGTTTTTCCTTAACAATCAGTACACTAAGCCAATGCAATGATTTCAAAGTAATACTTTGAGTGTACTTTTACTTCACATGCCTTTCAAAGTAGGGCCATAATGTTGTATTTTGGATGATATTACACATATTTGTAAAAAATAAAATTGCAACTCTGAATTGAATGGTTTGAAATATTTACATATATGAAATAGCCTTCTGTTATCATGATCCACACTGGCCTTGGAAAGAGAATATTTTGCAATAAATAGTTCTTAGTGTAACTATAAATTACAAGCCTCAGATGCAATTCAAGCAGTTAGAAAAGTCTGTCATCAATTGTCATGAGGAGAATAGATAGATAGGTGCCTTCTTGCGAGGATGGCACCACCATCTTTCACTGTCTTTACTACTAAGATGTCAGAAAGATGGGGTCCAGGTATTTTAGCTAGAGAAATATGTTCTGCCATTCCCACATAACACCATGTTTAGAAACACTCTACATCCCAGAGGCTGACGTTGTTCCCAAACCATTCCATTATGTTTAGTCATGTCCCATATGGTTATTCTCAAAATAGGCAGTAAGGAGTTATTGACCCAAAGTGCTTTTTCGATGGAATGGTTTTAGAAAGTAAGACAGAGTTACAATTTGATAAAGACTGTGGACTACGTTAGCTTACATAGAGAGAGCATACAGGACAGCTAGCTAATCATTCTGTAGCAGAATACAATGTTGCAAGCATTCAGTATAATAGAATCTAGACTTCTTCCTGCAGATATTTTGAAGTAGCTGTACTTCACTGGTTAGCTTGCTGTCTCCGGAAAGCAGTGTGTTAGCAGTTAGGACAGAAGCCTAGGTAATCCACAGACCTCTGATGACAATTGAATAAGGGCTCTGTTCAATTAGTATCGCTGAAGCGTTACAGATTGCGCGATAGAAATGTAAAGGTAATTTCTGATTAAGCCGACATATGCAGAGTTTACAGTTAATGCAGTCTCCGCTAACGCGGGAACAGAGCCTTTAAATTTCAATCATGTCGTAATGCTGAACTTCCGCGATACGGATTGAATAGAGCCCTAAGTATGCTAAACAAAATAACATTGTATGGTTACATTCTCCATAAAAAAGAGGAGATTAGAGATTTTTCAAAAGAATATCTCGAAGTTGGTTAAATGTTGAGGCAAGCATGGCCACGCCAAACTAACCAGGGACAACAAAAACTCCCCTCCATTAGAAACGGGTTTACCATACCATAAAACGGCTATGTCATCAAACAACTCAGTACTAGCTTCTTATGTGAGAAATTGCAGGTGTATCATGCTCAATCTGTCCAACACAAAAATACCTAGTTCATTATTCTCTATTCTGTTGTACATACAGCACTACATTTATTTTTATTTTTTCTTATTCAAGTTTGTTTTGTCTAAAATACATAACGGGAACCATGCCCAATTGATGCTGCCTCAAACCAGTGAGGGGACAGAGAGCAAGCGTAGGAATGAAGCCCTGGCTGATCCCTTACAACATCTGTTAGGAGCCAGACAGGACGTTCAGGCCAGGCCAGACCCTATGCTACGAGCACAGGTGTGTGAGTAGGTGAGAGCGCAGTCAGCGGGAGCGGTGCTGCTGAGACAGTGTCAATCAGCGCGTCCTCTTCTCTCCCCAAAGCCCTATCCTCCATCCATGGCCTCTGCTTGGTGAGCACCAGACAAGACTGTCCAACTCAGATGTTCACATCTCTCACGTCCGTTGGTGTGCACGACAGGTCGACCTCCTCATCCATGCTCTTGGTGTCCGTGGAAACAGTGTGTTGTTGTGCCTGACGGAGACTGGTCTCCAATAAGGACTCGATCTGTTCTTGACACGCCCGTAGACAGTCCTGCAGAGGGGGGAGAGAGACGCATTGTTAGTGATGAGATAAGGACTAGTGTTGGCTAGTCTCTCAGCAATGAGCACCACTTACAGTCATGGACATTTGTCTAACAGGTGGCCTTTTTGTCTGCCTTCTAAAATAAATCTTCAAAACCATCTGAACAATCTGAAAACACATGCAGTATTAGAATGGTATGACCATGGTACCAATGGTATACTGTGTAGGCTTTAAGGAGTAGTGACAACACACAGCACCACAGAGGCAGAGTGACTGTGTGAGGATTAGGCGGAAGATAATACATCCAGAAAGACTGGAAACACAATCTGCTAGCACCAATTCCTGTTCCCAAAACAATAGGAGCTAAAGCAATTCATTGGGTGAAGGATAAGTGGGGCAGACCCTCAGTCAGGTGGTGGAAGGAGAGCCCCAGGGACATAATTCTAATGATTACGGTTCTTATTACCTGGATCATAGAGACCTGTAGAAACTAGAGCCAGACCAGTGGGTGAGGAAGGTTTCAGAAGTTATTCTACAACTATGCAATACTTAGATATTACCCTTTGATTAAAATAATAACAATACACTGAACAAAAATATAAATGCAACATGTAAAGTGTTGGTCCCATGTTTCATGAGCTGAAATAAATCCCAGAAATGTTCCATACGCACAAAAAGCTTATTTCTCTCAAGTTTTGTTTACATCCCTGTTAGTGAGCATTTCTCCTTTGCCAAGAAAATTCATCCATCTGACAGGTGTGGCATATCAAGAAGCTGATTAAACAGCATGATCATTACACAGGTGCACCTTGTGCTGGGGACAATAAAAGGCCACTCTAAAATGTGCAACTCTGTCACAAAACACAATGCCACAGATGTCTAATGTTTTGAGGGAGTGTGCAATTGGCATGCTGACTGCAGGAATGTCCACCAGAGCTGTTGCCAGAGAATGTAATGTTCATTTCATAAGCCGCCAACGTCGTTTTAGAGAATTTGGCAGTACTTCCACCCGGCCTCACAACTGCAGACCACGTGTATGGCGTCGTGTGGGCAAGTGGTTTGCTGTTGTCAACATTGTCAACAAAGTGCCCTATTGTGGCTGGTGGGGTTATGGTATGGGCAGGCATAAACTACGGACAACGAACACAATTGCATTTTATCTATGTCAATTTGAATGCACAGAAATACTGTGACAAGATCCTGAGGCCCATTGTGAGACCCATTTTTTAAAGGTATTTGTAACTAACAGATGCATACTGTATCTGTATTCCCAGTCATGTGAAATCCATAGATTAGGGCCTAATGAATTTATTTCAATTGAGTGATTTCCTCATATGAACTTTTTTATTTAATTTTCTTATTTACTTTTTTAGGGGGTAGATCAGCTTTAATATTGCACATAGATTGTAACTTCCATCAATTGAATTGTCTGCATCACTTCCAATCCCCCATATCTTCTTTTTTTCTCTCGCAAATATATATATACAGTGGGGAGAACAAGTATTTGATACACTGCCGATTTTGCAGGTTTTCCTACTCACAAAGCATGTAGTGGTCTGTAATTTTTATCATAGGTACACTTCAACTGTGAGAGACGGAATCAAAACAAAAATCCATAAAATCATATTGTATGATTTTTAAGTAATTAATTTGCATTTTATTGCATGACATAAGTATTTGATCACCTACCAACCAGTAAGAATTCCGGCTCTCACAGACCTGTTAGTTTTTCTTTATGAAGCCCTCCTGTTCTCCACTCATTACCTGTATTAACTGCACCTGTTTGAACTCGTTACCTGTATAAAAGACACCTGTCCACACACTCAATCAAACAGACTCCAACCTCTCCACAATGGCCAAGACCAGAGAGCTGTGTAAGGACATCAGGGATAAAATTGTAGACCTGCACAAGGCTGGGATGGGCTACAGGACAATAGGCAAGCATCTTGGTGAGAAGGCAACAACTGTTGGCGCAATTATTAGAAAATGGAAGAAGTTCAAGATGACGGTCAATCACCCTCGGTCTGGGGCTCCATGCAAGATCTCACCTCGTGGGGCATCAATGATCATGAGGAAGGTGAGGGATCAGCCCAGAACTACATGGCAGGACCTGGTCAATGACCTGAAAAGAGCTGGGACCACAGTCTCAAAGAAAACCATTAGTAACACACTACGCCGTCATGGATTAAAATCCTGCAGCGCACGCAAGGTCCCCCTGCTCAACCCAGCGCATGTCCAGGCCCATCTGAAGTTTGCCAATGATGATCTGGATGATCCAGAGGAGGAATGGGAGAAGGTCATGTGGTCTGATGAGACAAAAATAGAGCTTTTTGGTCTAAACCTCTCGCCGTGTTTGGAGGAAGAAGAAGGATGAGTACAACCCCAAGAACACCATCCCAACCGTGAAGCATGGAGGTGGAAACATCATTCTTTGGGGATGCTTTTCTGCAACGGGGACAGGACGACTGCATCGTATTGAGGGGAGGATGGATGGGGCCATGTATCGCGAGATCTTGGCCAACAACCTCCTTCCCTCAGTAAGAGCATTGAAGATGGGTCGTGGCTGGGTCTTCCAGCATGACAATGACCCGAAACACACAGCCAGGGCAACTAAGGAGTGGGTCCGTAAGAAGCATCTCAAGGTCCTGGAGTGGCCTAGCCAGTCTCCAGACCTGAACCCAATAGAAAATCTTTGGAGGGAGCTGAAAGTCCGTATTGCCCAGCGACAGCCCCGAAACCTGAAGGATCTGGAGGTCTGTATGGAGGAGTGGGCCAAAATCCCTGCTACAGTGTGTGCAAACCTGGTCAAGACCTACAGGAAACGTATGATCTCTGTAATTGCAAACAATGGTTTCTGTACCAAATATTAAGTTCTGCTTTTCTGATGTATCAAATACTTATGTCATGCAATAAAATGCAAATTAATTACTTAAAAATCATACAATATGATTTTATGGATCTTTGTTTTAGATTCCGTCTCTCACAGTTGAAGTGTACCTATGATAAAAATTACAGACCTCTACATGCTTTGTAAGTAGGAAAACCTGCAAAATCGGCAGTGTATCAAATACTTGTTCTCCCCACTGTACATACATACATACATATCCTTTTAAAAAATATATTTCCCTTTATTACTTTCCAACCCCACCAACACTTCCCAACATTTACATTTTTCATACTGGCCCCCCGTGGGAAACAGACCCACATCCCTGCCGGCCAAACCCTCCCCTACCTTGGACGACGCTGGACCAATTGTGCGCCGCCCATGGGTCTCCCGGTAGCGGCCAGCTGCGATAGAGCCTGGACTCGAACCAGAATCTCTATTGGCACAGCTAGCACTGCGAAGAAGTGCCTTAGAACACTGCGCCACTCGGGAGTCCTTAATTGGAGTAAACTAGTGAACAACAACCCTTAGGCCTCTACTCCCATATGGCACTGCATCTCAGTGCTTGAGGTGTCACTACAGACCCCCTGGTTCGATTCCAGGCTGTATCACAACTGGCCGTGATTGGGAGTCCCATAGGGCGGCGCACAATTGGCCCAGCGTCATCTGGGTTTGGCCGGTGTAGGCCATCATTGTAAATAAGAATTTGTTCTTAACTGACTTGCCTAGTAAAATAAATAAATACATACTATATAAATTTTATGGACACAGTCAATTTTATAATAATTCTATTTTGTTTGTTTTTACTCCTGAACTTCCTCTACCCTCAACCTCTCCGATCATTTTCATGATGTCCATCCGGCTTGCTTCTATACGCCATCTCTTTCTAACTGTGCTCTTTCACAAAAGCTCTCAACCTATAACCTATATACTTATTATGGACACAGTATGCTTTACATTAGTTATCTTGTTGTTATTAGTTGTTGTTAGTTGTTATTAGTCCCATCCTTCTGCTCCATTCAACACCTCCCATCTATCTCGTAACACCATCCCATATTGGATTTCTATTTGCCCCATATTTTTCAACTGTCCTGTGATGTTTCACAAAAGTTATGAACCCTTCTATTCTCATTGTTTCTACAGATTGTAAATTGAAAATAAACATTTTTGCTAAAAGTATTATTATATTATTGATCGATTGACTATGACTTTTCAGATCACCCAGTAGTGCTATCTGCAGGGTTAGCTCCAGGTAAATATTGCAATCCTTCAGCCATTCGTGGACCTGTGTCCAAAAACAAGCCACAAATGGACAGTACCAAAACAAATGATCTAATGATTCTGTCTCTTCGCAGCAAAATCTGCAGAGCTGGGAAGATTGTATCCCCCATATAAATAACATTCTATTGGTAGCAAGAATTTTGTATAATAATTTAAATTCTACGTTTTAAATCCGGCGTCGTTTTGCGTATCAGTTCATAAACACTATGCCATGGAATTGGTATGTCAAAAATCTCTTCCCAACTATTTTGCAATCTATATGGGATGGCCGTCAATCCTTTGGTCCTTAAATTAAACTGGTATACTTTTTTATTTATCACAATTTTCTTTAACCAATTATGTTCTTTAATGCAGGGTCGACAGACAAGTTCCTTACTTTTTCCCCCTTCCACTTTCCTCTTCCATTTTTGCGGTAATGCTGCAATTATTTGGTTGTAATTTTGGGTAGAGCATTTCCATACATTATACATTTCCATATGTTTTTGTTAGCTGCATGTGCGACATAACTCCACCAGTCCTACCTATAATATTATTTTTGAAGATTATACCTTTTTAAAACATTTTTCAAAAAATAATGTTTTTTTATCAATTAGTATATATGGTTTTAACCACAATATTTGTTGCATTATTTGTTCTGTAGTTTCTGTAGGATTAAATTGAAATTGCAACCAACTTTCTATGGCTTGTTTTAGAAATAGTGATATTTGGGAGATTATTTCCTTTTCAAATAATGAAAGTGAGAGGTTGTAATCTGAATAAAAGGAAAAAGGCCATTCTTTTTTAGAGACAATTTTACTAATTAGCTAGAGAACCAGTATGGATTTAAGTATAACTTTTGTATGACTGAAGCTTTTAGTAATAGGTCTAATGCTTTAATATTTAATAATTTCTGTCATCCGAATTCATATTCATTATATAAATAGGCTTGTTTAATTTTGTCTGGCTTGCCATTCCAAATAAAATTGAATATTTTTTTCTCATATAATTACAAAAACTGTTCGCTAGGCATAGGCAAGACCATAAGCAAATAAGCAAATAGGTATACTGGGATAATACTAAAGAGTTAATCAGGGTGATTTTTCCACAAATAGACAGGTATTTACCTTTCATGGTAGCAAGATCTTATCTATTTTTGCTAACTTTCTATTAAAATGTATTGGAGTGAGATCATATATTTCATTTGGGATATGGATTCCGAGTATATCCACATCACCATCAGACCATTTTATTGGTAAACGACATGTTATGAACTGTAACTTAGCACAATCTTTGAAATTGTTGCATGTTGCATTTATATTTTTGTTCAGTATAATAATAATAATAATATTTAAAAAGTAATTGGTGACATTCCATTGAAATAATGAGAGATTATGTACTAAATTATGACATTAGGGCTGAATTGTGTCCTGTGTTTGTTATGCGAATATACACAACTGACTTTGTAGTTGCAAGGAAAGTGCATTTATTCATGGGCGCCGCTTTCTTTTTTTATTACTTTTTTCTTCCCCCTTTCCTTTTGGACTCCACAAGAGCCTTGCCTCCTGCATCAATGACAAAGGGGACAACGAGCGAGAACTTTTGCACGTCGTCGACTGCACTGGAGTGAGGGACTGTGCGCTCGCCTCTCATTTCCTGACCCATTCAGAGACAGGGTTTATGGCCTGGCTACCTGCTGCTCTACATCCCCTGTCTCTCAGATCTCTCTCTCTCTCCTCTCTAGTGCTGAGTGATTAGTGCTTTTTGAGGTCGGTTCGGGTTCGGTTTGATTATTTTAAAAATTATAATTTTAGACTTCGGTTTCTCTTCTTTTTGTAAACATTAAATGCACTATGCATTATGGGGGTTGAATGCTGTAACAACAGAGAATAAAATAATGGTAGTGATTGCCCATCACTTATTAAGCATAATTTATTCACATTACTTTACTTTAACAAAATATTTTGTTTTATTTGATGACTTCACTACTTCATTCCAAGTCATCATCTCATCTCTATAGAGCTGCTGCCCATGCTGTCTAACAAAATCACTATTTTAGTTACTATTCAAAGTAAATAAGGCATACTTTTATGACTGCTGACTACCAACTATCAATCACTTAGATCATGTACTTTCAGGTAGAGATACCTTGCGAAGCAACTGCTCTCTATCCCTCTCAATCGCGCATTCTTCTGTCTCTTTACATAGCAGGTATAGCAGACATGAGTCGGTCATGGTCACGTGATGAGGTAACCCTGCCTGCGAACTTCAAAACCAGTCTCTGCCCTCGGCCCAAGAGGGAATTTCCCTAAGACGTTGGTTGCGCCCGTCGGAGACCCGGGTAACTGATATTTCGGGTTAATGCTCAGCACTACTCCTCTCTTGTTCTACTGTCACCCCTCTCCCCCATGAGTTACCACATAGTGGAAGCAATCAGATCAATAAAAGGCTGGGAATCTGTGGAAGATAAAAGACGGGCAACCATTCCATATGCAAAGCTAGGCAGAATGGTTGCACGTTTGCTATATTAGGCTCTCTAGTCTCATTTCTAAGCTATATGTTTAATTTCAAAAATGTTGCATGAGACTGGGTTGTCCTTACATACCGGGTCACTTCTGATGACTTGGGACAGGAAGTCAGTGAGTTGCTGGGATGACAGTGCATCGTCCATGCTCTTCAGATTCAGCCCCTGGACAGCAGCCGCCACACTGCCCGCAGCGATCATTGACGGAGGGTTGGCAATGAATTTGACATCTGGTGGAGAAAAAAGGAAAAGAGAGAAAGATAAAAAAGAGAGAGAGAGAGGGGAGAGAGAGAGGGAGAGAGAGAGAGAGAGAGAGAGAGAGAGAGAGAGAGAGAGAGAGAGAGAGAGAGAGAGAGAGAGAGAGAGAGAGAGAGAGAGAGGGAGGGGGTGAAAGAGAGAGAGGCAACAGGTCAAATTCCTGAAGCAAGGCATTTGATCCACAAACAATTCACACAACAACCTTGTTAATGGTGCAGCTCACTGGCTCCAGAGCTGCAGCTCAGGCCATTGACACGGGTGAGACAACAAGAGAGAGGCGACACCCTGGCAATGAGGGGTGAGACGGAGGTGTGGGGGAGGAAGAGAGGGGTGAGAGGAAGGAGGTGGGACGAGGGGGATGGGGCAGAATAATGTGGCACAACCAGATAATGGCAAGGCAGAGAGGAGAGAGAAACTGTGCGTCCAACAGAATCAGAACAGAGGCACCATGCTGACATGTGGCAGGATGCCCTGACTGCTACTGAGGAGCTATGCTGTAGGTCCCAGTCACTCTGCCCCCCCCCCCCCCTCCCCCATTACATCGCTATACCATCATCCCCTCCTACTCTCTCTATCCTCGTCTTTCTATCCTCAAATTTGCATACATACAAAACTTTGTTAAGAGTAAAGAGGGGCAGATACAACAAATGACATAATCAAATAAGAGGTAAGACGTATTGCACTTGCTGGAATCTGATGTTGGTGATAAATGATCTATTCAGCCCAACAACTGCTTGATAATCACACAGAGAGAATGAGAGACAAGCTCATGAAATGCAGACGTATTCTCCCCAGACCCCCCCCCCCCCCCCCCACCTTAAGCCCAAACCCCCATTCCCCTTCTCAACAGCCTCACTATGCAATAAATCACCCTTCAACCCGCTCTGGTTGGACCCCTCTCTGGAAAGATCATGTCTCACTTCCTCTTTTCAAGTGCTTAGAGAGACAATAAATCTACTCCAGGCAGGGGTGCTCACACACGCACCACATGTGCACACACGCACACACACACACACAAACAGAGGGGCTCCTCAGACGATGCACATTGTGTGAAACAACAGGTCTAATCACCAGGCTCAGACCATTAATTTTACCATATTAATTAGGGGGCCTCTCAGTCTAGGAGACGAGCCCCCTTTACACCCCCCAACCCAATGGGTATGGGGCTGGGGCATCATTGTGAGTGAGCTCCCATTGCAAGGGCCTGCACCACAGAGAGCTTAGAGAGGAGGGTTGAGGAAGAGCGCTGCGAGATTAATTGAACTTGCATAAAGGCAAGCCAGAGAGCCATTATCCAGGCCCATATCCCCACTAGATCTACCCATTCCTAGACTCCCTATAAAAGAGAAAGGAAATAAATGCTTGCAACCCTCAAGATGAATGCAGGAATGCCAGCCAGCAGCTGCTCTAAAGGAAATATATAAAGCAAGAGACTCCACAGTCTCAGAAAAAAGTCAAATATAAAAGGGGATCATTTTCTTCTATGCTGGCAAGATGAAGGAAATAAATGAATTTCACAAAGGTGTATCAAAGACTATTAAAACACACCCCTTATACAAACCATGTTGCAGCAGGTCAGAACTCGTTAAGTGCCTTCCTTAGAGGTATTACTCAACACAAATAGCACGTACAGGATCTTCAACATGCTTTCACACACTCCCTAGTCTTCCCCTCCCTACATTATTCTGTTTGTCTATTCCTTCATACAATTGGAGTTCACTTTTGTAAGTGATCACCTGTTAAAAGTGTTCCGTTTTTCAAATCAAAGATATGACCTTGTTGTGTCACTCTTCATTCCATTCCCTTCCATTACCAAAAGAGAGGCCCGGACCTTCTTGCTCTCCGAACAGGACAGAGCCTAAGCCAACAGGCACATTCAATTTACTAAATTAAGCAGTAACTTCAAACAGCACGTTGAGTTAAGTCTTCCCCCTGACCTACCACAAGACAGAGGTGCTTCCTCTAACACAAATCAAATGTTGTTGAGGGGGGCCACTATGAAAAATTAAAAATAATGTATGCACTCACTAACTGTAAGTCGCTCTGGATAAGAGCGTCTGCTAAATGACTAAAATGTCAAATGTCAAATGGAAAGTAGTGCAGGTTGGAAACCTATAGAGCAGGACTTCTCTTCAATATCACCTTCTGTAAAACTCTGCCTGCTATTGGGTTCCAGGCCTTCTATTGTGCAATGCTAGAGCTTAGTCCAAAGGGTAGAAATTAGACAGTGTAACAGCAGCTACATCAAAGTATATTCCTCGAGCATTTACCCTGCTGCTCATATGTAAGCTTTGCAGGGCCTGTTCACAAATGAACACAACCTTTCTGGAATGTGTACAGCTTGTGATGTATTTAGCAGAACCGTCTACTCTACACCAAACCCCTTCACTTTACCAAACGCCAAGTCAAGTGGTTCAAATCAAGTTTAGGGCAAAAGATAATGGCATAACTGTTACACAAGTATGGGAGTTATCATGCCATTGACAAATATCAACTCAACCGCTTCCATTTGGAACCCCTCTTTACAGTAGTAATCCACATCAGAACATCTAAAACCCAGGGGACATGTAGACCTACAACATCCCTCTAAGTTAACAGCACTAAACAGAGACAGCAGAGCAGCAGTGTAACAATAGGCAGGTGGTGGTGGGACTCCCATGCATACCTGTAGCACAGAGAGCCACAAAGGTCTGGGCATGCTTGCACAGGATTTGCTTGGTGTCCTGATGGATGGGTAGTTTGGAGAGGAAGTGGTCTATGAAATCGTGCGGCGTCACTGAGGCTAGATCCCATTTCAGTTTGTTCAATACCAGTAGTTCCATTTGCTGTGGAGGAGATAGGAGAGAGAAAACATGTAGTAGGATACTGTGCAAGGGTTCAAGACACCAACACACCACTAGAGGGTGGGCATGCTCCACACAGGCCTATGCTCTGCCACTGTGCCAATGCCTTATCATGACAATCATTGATGTTAGGGGAAGTAGGTTTAAGACATTTTGTTATAGAATTTCAGTTATTTTCTAATTTAAAATGATTGATCTCCCAAAGTTAACTTTGGCTAAACTGAAAAGAATGCACTTACAAGAAATTATAGTTCTTATTATAGGCAGACTGTTTTAAAATAAGGAAGTAACACTACACTAAATTATACAATACCTCCTAAACATAATCTACATGTGTTGGTTATAACTAATGTGGAAGTCAAATTACCAGCAACTCGCCAGGCCGGATGGAATTGTCAGTGTATATGCACAACTTCTCAGCTGTTAGAGGAATGGTCTCCTTCATTTTAGACGCCAGAAACATGCATGTAGCTCCCAATAACTGTAGCCGGGTCTTCTTTGTGGGTTCAACAGACAAATATCTGTCCAAAAAATTCATAGCTAGGGGAAAAACCTCCTCTTCGCATTTCTGTTCCTCACAGACCTGGAATCAAAAGCAAAACCAAACATCAGTTAGGCTACACATCCAGTCTATAGGCCTATATCTACATAGTCTACAAAGCTATCAAAAATAACAAACAATAACACGAGTCATACATGAATGCATATAAGTGCATATTATGTGCCTGTAAAGGAGCTCTAAGACGTTTTGGATGTAAAAAACTGTTTTTAGAGACATTTCGCTCGTGCACACAAAGGTTGATCTCTCTGCAAGGCAAGCGCATTGCTTGCAGAGCCTTATTGTAGTTCGCCATATTTTCAACAAATATTTTTAAATATTTCAAAATTGTTTTAGAATGTAACATTAGCATGTAAACATTATTATACTTATATTTTATCGGACAAAAGTGTCATATTCCGAATATCTAAAAGAAAAATGTTCAAAATTAACTATATATGTAAACCACTATAGAAATTGGACAAGCAGCATGCGCACACATCTCATAACAGCATGTAACTTTCAAAATGAATTAAAAATATAATCTTCCACACCACGAAAACATTTTTACCCTGTTAATGTTAAGCAATTTATCTTCTTACATAATGTATCTTCTTACATAATGTGACAACTTTATTACATTCTCTCAAAGGGAATCGAAGCTATTAACCAATTTTAGAGGCGACCCTTTGAAACTCCCAAATCGACTTGGATTGTTCAGTTGCTTCAACTCTAAGAACAATTTTTAGTTTGCTTTATCAAGTGGTAACTTAACAATAGAAACAAAGTTCCAAATGCATCCGAGGTCAGTGACTACATGGAAAACAGCTGTGACATGGTTATTACACGTTTTAAACCACAAAGTAAACCACAAGAAAACAAAGAGGGCGAATACTGGCACTAGTGACTGCATACGTGTACATTGACATTAATTAAAGAGGATAATGATACTAAAGTGTAACATTTTGTTCCCTTGAATATAATCGAATAAAAAAAATTGGCGTCATTTGCAGCATGTGTCAGGTAAAAATAAGGCTCAATTAGTCACACAGACAACCTCTAATGTAGTCCAAAGGGTAAGCTTTTGCTGGGTGAATAATGTGATAAACATGACATGAACAACACAAGACAAGCAATCTTTATAGTTGCATGGTAGTAATGTATTTTGCTTCTATTCCAAAGGGCATAGACCTGTGAGATGATTCGGATAATTTAATGTTATGGTTCTGTTAGAAAGGGTTTATTGCACAAACCTCCAGCATCCATGTAGAAACAATTCTCCTCATGCAGGGTACAATCTCTTTCTGTACACATTTGAAGTAGTTCGTTGCGGGGAGATAATTGTCTTCAGCTTTTAGCATAGTCTGCAGAACTCTATCGTTGAGCAGGTTCGAGTCTTGGTAAGCTCTCCGGATGGTCTCCACTTCACAGCACAGCAACTGGTGTTCCATTCCTTCGGCTTCGGCAGTTGCTTGAGCAATGAGAGAGACAGAGAGAGACTGAAAGAGAGTCTGAACTATTGCTTTCCCAAAAGTTCCGTGGATGTTGCTCTGCCTCTGTCTGCTGCGACTGCTTTGTCGAAGCTCTCAGGAGGCGACCAAACTCTGCTCAACTTTCCTCAATAAACTCCCCTCCCCTCCGCGCACTGGGGAAATGACGTGACTGTTGTTATGTATGTTGGTTATAGAGCAGATCAAAGGCAGCGTCGACCATGAGGGTGAGGGAGAGCGAGAGTCCCAAAAAGAGAGGCCCGCCTCAGAGAGGGGGCACGTTTTAGAACGCTATTCCACATAAATGTATAGTCCCTTCCCATCGCCGCCAGCGTATGGGCTATTGGAAGTGGGCGGTCTCAGGTCCGTTTCTGGAGGCAGTAGGCTAAGTGAGGGTCTGATTGCAGCTACTGCGCGGTACCAGTGGGGGAAGCAGAGATGCTCGGTGGCTGGACTGGAAGTAGATTTTATTGTTTGTGTGGCCTCTTTTTCACAAATGAAAGCTTCCGAGTGGCGCAGCGGACTAAGGCACGGTATCTCAGTGCTATACGTATCTCTACAGATCGTGGTTCGATCCCAGGCTGTATCACAATCCGGCCGTAATTGGGAGTCCCATAGAGCGGCGCACAATTGGTCTGGGATAGGCGGTCATTGTAAATAACAATTATTTCTTAACTGATTTGCCTATTTAAATAGGAATGCTAATATTTATTTTAATATCTGAATCTGCAAAAAAAATGTTATTTGCTTATAAATACACCAGCCACAAAACCAATGAAAGCGCCAAAATAATATCTTGTAACTAGGCTAAATGGCAATAATCAGGACTAGACAAACTATTAAACTAAATGAAAACAAATGTCAATGAAAACTAAAGTAAGAAATAGTAAGGAAACCAAAATAGAAAACTTCACACAGCGAAATAGTGTTTTCCCTTTTAGTCTGAGAATTACAGTAAAACATATTCAGAGTCCACTTCATGTTTACATTTAGGTCATTCAACAGATGCTCTTATAGTTCCTCGTGTGAATCGAAGCCAGGACCCTGGTGTTGCAAGTGCCATGCTCTACCAGCTGAGCCACTCAAGACACCTGTTGATACTTGTATTGTGAATAATAAAAAAAAAATGTTAAATGTACATAACAACCTTTTGAGTATTCATATTAATACACTGAACAAAGATATAAACGCAACATGCAACAATTTAAAACATTTTACTGAGTTACAGTTCGTATAAGGAAATCAGTCAATTGAACTGCATTCATTAGGCCCTAATCTATGGATTTCACATGACTGGCAATACAAATATGCATCTGTTGGTCAAAGATACCTTAAAAAAACGGACTTGAATCAGAAAACCAGTCAGTATCTGGTGTGACCACCATTTGTCTCATGCAGCGTGACACATCTCCTTCACATGGAGTTGATCAGGCTGTTGATTGTGGCCTGTGGAATGTTGTCCCACTCCTCTTCAATGGCTATGCCAAGTTGTTGGATATTGGAGGGAAATGGAACATGCTGTCCTACACGTTGATGATGGCGGATGAATGGCAATGAGCCTTGGGATCTCGTCACTGTATCTCTATGCATTCAAATTGCCATCGGTAAAATACAATTGTGTCCGTTGTCCGTTGCTTATTTTTTTAATTCACAAAAATACAACAGAAAATAAATATACAGTGTGTGCAAATGTAGCAAGTTATGGAGGTAAGGCAATAAATAGGCCATAGTGCAAAATAATTACAATTTGTTATGCCTGCCCATACCATAACCCCACCACCACCATGGGGCACTCTGTTCACAATGTTGACATCAGCCCACACAATGCCATACACGCTTTCTGCCATCTGCCCGGGTACAGTTGAAACCGGGATTCATCCATGAAGAGCACACTTTTCCAGCGTGCTAGTGGCCATCGAAGGTGAGCATTTGCCCACTGAAGTCGGTTAAGATCAGTCAGGTCAAGACCCTGGTGAGGATGACGAGCACGCAGATGAGCTTCCATGAGACAGTTTCTGACAGTTTGTGCAGAGATTCTTTGGTTGTGCAAACCCAGTTTCAGCTGACCAACTGGCTGGTCTCAGACGATCCCACAGGTGAAGAAGCCAGATGTGGTGGTCCTGGGCTGGCGTGGTTCTGCATGGTCTAAAACGATGTTGGATGCGGCTTATGGTAGAGAAATTAACATTACATTCTCTGGCAACAGCTCTGGTGGACATGCCTGCAACCAGCATGCCAATTGCACACTCCCTCAAAATATGAGACATCTGTGGCATTGTCTTGTGTGACAAAACTGCACATTTTAGAGTGGCCTTTTATTGTCTTCAGCACAAGGTGCACCTGTGTAATGGTAATGCTGCTTAATCAGCTTCTTGATATGCCACATCTGTCAGGTGGATGAATTATCTTAGCAAGGGAGAAATGCTCACTAACATGGATGTAAACAAATTTGTTCACAAAATTTGAGAGAAATACGCCTTTTGTGTGAATGGAAAATGTCTGGAATCTTTTATTTCAGCTCATGAAACATGGGACCAACACTTTACATGTTGCGTTTATATTTTTGTTCAGTATATATTGTAATATATTGCACACTCACACACAAGTGCACACACAAGCGCACACAAGCGCGCACACACACACACACACACACACACACACACACACACACACACACACACACACACACACACACACACACACACACACACACACACACACACACACACACACACACACAGTCTTCTTCATCTATTCTCCTCTGTTCCATTTCCTGTGTGCTAAGCTTGCAGCAGGGGTAGGCTTAGTCCAATAATGTACTAAAGGAGACTAACGTTACTCCTAATAGTGCAAGGACCTTACATTTTCTGTTTAAAGGCGAATTAGCGCTGGAAGCCAAAACAGCCAAATACTCTATCTAAACATGATATGATTCTCAATTGCGGTACGGTTCTAGAAACCTAAACCCCTCTACTTTCATATCACATCAAAATATGTCTTTCCATGACATAGATTGACTAGGTGAATCCAGGGGAACACTATGATCCCTTATTGATGTCAGCTGTTGAATCCACTTCAATCAGTGTAGATGAAGGGGAGGAGACAGGTTAAAAAATGATTTTAAAGCCTTAAGCCAATTTAGACATGGATTGTGTATCTGTGCCATTCAGAGGGTGAATGGGCAAGACAAAAGATTTAAGTGTTTTTGAACGGGGTGTGGTAGTAAGTGCCAGGCACACCAGTTTGAGTGTGTCAAGAACTGCAATGCTGCTGGGTTTTTCACGCTCAACAGTTTCCCGTGTATATCAAGAATGGTCCACCAACCAAAGGACATCCAGCCAACTTGACACAACTGTGGGAAGCACTGGAGTCAATATGGGCCAGCATCCCTGTGGAACGCTTTTGACACCTTGTAGAGTCCATTCCCCATTGAATTGAGGCTGTTTTGACGGTGTTCCTAATGTTTTGTGCACTCAGTGTAAGTTCAGAAATGCCAAATATACACATACTGTACACTGTTTTAACCGGTTTTAACACAGTTACAGCCTACAGGATTTTTCAGTGACAATACTTTTATGGCGTCTGTCTTCCATTTGCACACAGGTGTTCGGAGAGGCAGATAGCTAATTAGCACAGGTAGTCCACTCTGTCTTCCGTCTGTTTTGTGTTGTAACATGGAAATATGGCCGTTTCTTAACCCTAACCCTATAAAGGTGTGTAGTAATTTAACCTTTTATTTTTGTAAAATTATTTATAGCTTATATGAAAGTTACGTACCTTATGTTTCCAAAACCGTACCGCAAGCGATGCGCGTTAACGTTTAGCGCAAGCGTTGGTGCTTTTAACAAAACTCCCCCTGTCAGAAGATACTATCGTCAATAGGCGCTAAAGCAGTTAGCGTCTATGAATGGGGTAGGTTAGGCTGCACAGAGGGATTCCTCCTGTTAGTCTGTTGAGGGGAATAGACCAAATGACCAAATGGGGGGCAAGACAGTACAATTCAAAGACTACTGGATACTTCATTTATTTCATAGCTACTTTCTGGTCTATTGCCACATATGAGCAGCATCTGTGTGTCTGTATGTGCCAAAGCTGGCCCAGCCCTGTGTAGGACAGATTCACTTCAGTTCCAGGAGAGCAGAGTGGGTGAGGTGGAGGTGGCAGGGTGAGGGCAGTTTAGTTTTTCCCACATTCCTGCTGCATCCCAGTCAGTGGATGACTTCTTAGAGACCAGAGACCATTGATATGGTGTGTGGAAGGAAGACTCTCGTGGAGAAAGAGAACATTCAGGATGCACAACCAACAATGTGTAATTATGTGATCTATGATCTTTGTTGTCCAACAGCCCTGACTTCTTCCTCTGCTCTCTCTGTACCATGCACCTGAAGGTGTGCTTGAGGAATAGCTACACATTAGCTGTCAGCGGGGCTGGCTGTTTTTAGTTGCCATGGATAACAAAACAAACTAACATGTAATGTAAAATGATCGTCATGGCCAGTGTTTATGTGAAACAATATCAAAACAACTTCTGTATCAAAAAGCACCTTTTGGGCTAAATCTTGAGCCACACCTCAGATCTCCATGTGAATATAAATTCCAGTTCCTTGGAGAAGTCTGAGCCTTGACAACCCCATAAATCACACAACATAATGGAAAACCAATTACATAGGGAGTGGTAGAATACCATGTAACAGCAATACAAGATGAATGTCCACTACTCTCAGTCTTCTGACCACAACACTGTGACCCCATAGCTGTAAATCAACTATATTTGAAGTGATTCCAAACCCAAATAATCTAGAACTCATAGGAGGGAGTTTGAATTGCTCTCATAACCTGTGTCAAAGGTTCCAAATGAAATAACTATTTCAAGAGAAAGGGAGTGACATTGGCCAGCGAAAGCAACAAAGGCAATTTTATTTTGATGCTAGGATTTCATTCTACAGTATAGCCTGTATCAT